GCCGCACTGCCTGCGACGACCCGCCGGGCGCGGAAGGCGCGCGTTCGGGGCGCGGCGGGACGCGGCGAGGTGTGTGCGCCTGGGGGCCCACCTGGTGCGGTGCAGACCGAGGGTGGGGGTCCGGCTTCGGTGAGGAGCCCGGGTGTCGGGGGAGTTAGGACTCTGATGACAGGTTCCCCCTGGGCTGGGGGCTCCGGCCCGGGGTGGGGGGTGGGGTCTCTGGACATGCGGCTGGGGCTCCGGACATGAGCTGGGGGCTCCGGTCTCGGGTGGAGGGTCCAAGGACCACCCCCCAGAACTGGGGTGGGGTCTCTAGACATGGATGGAGGGCTCTGACCTGGGATGCTGGCTCTGGGACAGGGACTTTGGACATGAGGTGGGGTCTCTGGACCTGGGGTGGGGGAATCTGACTTGGGGTGGGAGGGGTTCAGGGACCTGGGGGAGGGTCTCTGACCTGGGATGGGAACTCTGAGATGGGGTCACTGGACATAGATGGGGGCAGTGGGTGGGGGCAGTGGGTGGTGCCAGTCTGGTGGACGGAGGGGTGTCGTACTGCAGGGGAAGGTCTGCTTAGGCACAGGGGCTGCAACAGGGCTAGGGGACCCGGACCCGAGGGCCTCCAGTCTCCTGGGAGTTCTCAGATCTGGGACCAGGTTGCAGAGTCAGGGCCTGACTCCGCCCTTGGTTCCTCGCAGAGGGGAACTGGGTGGGGCTCAGCTGGAGATGGCTCCTACTGGCAGGCCCTGGGGTCCCTGGGCCTTTCCTTCAGGGGTGTGGCCACCTCCATCAGGAAAGATCTGCCCCAAACCAGCCTTTCAGGTTTTCCCAGCCTGTTTCCCTGAGCTCCTCTGCCTCCACTCCTGGAGGGGCTCCAAAGGGCTGGCCTGCAGAGTGGGGTCCGGTAAACAAAGTGGACACTGACTACCCAGGACACGAGAGACCTGAGCCCCCTCCAGCCCTGCTCAGAGGTGACTGGGCCTTTTAAAGGGAGGGTGGGGGTGGGGGTGCATCTGGGCTTGAGAGGGGGAGTGAAAATTTACAAAAAGAGGGAAGAGGCGTGGGTCCCTGGAACACCGGCCGGGGCTTGCTAACTGGCACCTGTAGAATTTGGCTTTTTCCCTTTTGGAAGCCATGAGTGTGGTCAGGCAGTCGCCCTGGGGAGCTGCGGCATTTTAGGGAAGTACTGTGAGGCGCCACCCTTAGTGTTTCTACTGTCAGGCCTGGTGGAGAAGGGGGATCAGAGGGAGGGAGTCTCCTTAGTGAGTGGTTTTGAGTCCTGGGACGGCGTCGGGAAGACACTGAGCTCTGAGTGTCTCTAGGTGGTGGCATGAGGTAACAGTGGCAGGCCGCTCGCGGGCTTTCCAGGTGTGTGGTGTGACTGGTGACGGCATAGACATCTGTGTCCCAGAGCAGAGCCCGGGAGATGTGGGAACCCTAGGGGGGTTCTGCAGTGGCCCCCACGTGCTGGGTGGTGAGTTCTCGGACTTTCCCGCCACCTTGTCTGGCCTCAGCTTCCAGAGCTTTTCCAGACCCTGGAGACGAAGGGGAGCTACAGGACAGCTGAGTCCCGGGAAGGGTCTGGCGGCCAGATTTTAGTTCTCAGGGACACCAAGCTGGGAGGGAGGGAAATGGAGAGCAACAATTTGGAGAGTTGTACTGGGTCCTCGAGGAGGCAGAAAGAGTCAGAGGTTTGGGGAGGGAGGGCTGACCAAGCACGGCAGGTGGCAGGACGCAGTCCAGGTCACAGGTGGCCAACAGGGCCTCAGAGATGCCGGCGGGGCTGGGCTCCAGTGGCCCACGAGAGTATTATATTCTCCACTGAGCCAGAATCTCTCTCTGCTGTCATTTCCCTTTTTGATCAGGGATCATCAAAGGAAGAATATCCTTGTTTACAAAATAGTTCTGGTCTTATTAGGCAAGGCTGATAACTTCCATGCGTGCAGCAAGAATGGTGACTGACTTCCAGCCCTTTCTCAGCTGGTCTCTGGAAGCTTAGATAGGGAAATCTCAGATGCGCGTTTAAAACCTTCCACCGTGGGAGGTCGATCCAAGAACTTGCCATCAACTTCACTTGCAGACGCGGGTGAATTCCTGTCTTGTCAAGGCCCCCCAATATCCCAGGGTTCCTGGGCTGCAGGAGGTGACCTTCCTTGCTCACTGGAAGGCTGAGGACCTTGGATGCCGGGCACCAGGCCGGATTTTCCCAGAGGGCTTTGTAAGCCTTTGCTTCAGAAAGTGACCACAGTTCCTCTATGAGTCATTTTCATTCATGACATTCCTTGGTAATACAACCAGGGTTTTCAATCATGTCCTGTCACGAGGAGGGCAGTCTTGTTAAACTATGCAGATCACTATTTATGTGCAATATAGCAATACACAATGTAGTTTCTGATTTTTGGAGGATCAGACAGGGAGAAAAAGATAAATGCTTCAATTTTGTTTACAGAAATATAACTTACTAGATTTTTATGAGTCATAGCTCGCTTAAGAGAGAAGAGGATGGGTTTTTTTTTTAATATCAAGAAAAGGGAACGTTAAAGAGCCAACGGTATTCTAAACAAAAGTCACGAAAAATTCCAGTCGTCCTTTTTCAGTGCACTCAGTCTTGTCCGTTTCTGTTCTGCCTTATCTTTGGTTCGCAGCTCATGAGCCCATTGGTCTCTGCACTGGGACCCTTGGTCAGGCCGGTGGGGCGGTGCCATCGGGGTCCCTGGTCAGCCCTTCCCGTGTGGTGCATCTCAAATCAGGCCCTTGTTGTGGCTGAGGACGTGCTCTGGCCTGCATTGCGTTGCAGATGCTTTGGAGAAGCATCAGAGTGAAACAGAATTACCTGCAGATGACGAAAGACTCCAAGTGGCTGTGGTTAACGAGCTGGGGAGAGTATGTTATAAAAACACCCTTGACAGGGCCATGTGGCTGTTCCTGCAGCACACACACCACGTTCAGTGTGGAGCTGTGAGTGATAGCGTTGTACCCGGACACGTGGGAAGCAAGAGCACTGACAAACTTCTGAAATACGTCTGTGAATAGCATTTACCCGCACACGTTCACCTAGGGAAGGCTACGCACCTCTTCTCATTCGACAGTGCTTCTCGTGCAACTTAACATAACGAATAAACCTAATTATTTTTTCATTTAAAAAAAATTTTTGCTAGAGGAGTAGGTAATTAGGCTTATTTATTTTTTAATGGAGGTACAGGGGATTGAACCCAGGACCTTGTGCATGCTAGGCATGCACTCTACCACTGACTTATACTCTCCCCACCTAAACCTAATTATTTTTAACATCCCTCCTCTTACAGTGTGAGAGAACAAATCAGTGAGCTTTTCCGAGGACCCTCTGAGAAATCCCCAAACCATTTTGAGATCAAGACTTCATTAAGGATTGATTTGGGGAAGATTGTTGTCAAAAACATTGGAAGGTGTGAACGCTTGATTAAATACGATCCCAGCTCACTGCAGAGCAATACATAGTTATCCGCTTTCCCGAGCAACAACCCAGAAGCTCAAACGTAGATGTAGGAGGGGACATGCCCGAAAAACCCTGGGCTCTTGACAGCCAGCACACTCGGGCCTCCTGAGTGACGTCAAGTGGCACGGGGGTTATATTAAAGCCAGAAGTTTTGTTTCCTAGAAAGATGCTCCAGAAGGTAAAGAGAATCCTTTTACAATCTCCTACTAAAAGCAAACCAATAACCCAAGAAATCATACTGTTTTAACAGAGAGGGAACCAGACCCCACTTTGGTATCAGCACACTGCTGGCGTTAAAGCTCACTGAAGAAAAAGCTTTCCCTTCCACCTGGCTCATCTTAGCTCTGACCTCACAGCACAAAATTCCTCATTTCACTGTAGAACAAAAGACAAAACACGTCCTGTCTTCCCCGCTACGTTGTGTACAAAGGCAGCTCACTCTGCTCTGGGTGTATCTGGTGGTGGTTTTATTCTCACACTTGGTTTGTGATGTTTACCTGTTAGCGACCGTTACTTGACCAGGAAAACTAGGAAGTTGACCACTGCGAATTGCAGTGGTTCTGTAGCAGTGTTCTGTAGCAGATTAGCAAATTTTATGAATATAGCCTCTCATGATCTGTAAGGTAGATGCTCCTGGTACTGCGTGTTTGGCTGCAGCAAGAATGTATTTATTAACGCACCCAAATGTCTTTTAGTCTCTTTGTATCATGTATGGATGAGGAGCCAAAAGTATACAAACTTCAACTGATGACCAACCAGTAATGAATGTTTCAGCACTTTAACTTAATGAGAAATTATTTAGAGGGAACTATATTCAATATCTTGCTGTAGCCTATAATGGAAAATAATCTGAAAAAGAATATATATACATATATATGTATAATTCAATTAGGTTGCTGTACACCTGAAACAGCATGTTAAATTGACTATATCTCAATTTAAAAATAGTTTAAAACATTAAAAAAAATTTATTAAGATATTTAATGAATATGTATTATTTAACTTAATTTGGCTTAACTCTAGAGTTGCAAGTTACCGAAAAGACTTTGGAAACTGTTTTTAGGTAGACATACTATAAAACACAATTATTGTTGAAATAAAGCTTCTCAGAATAGTAACCAAATTTGATTAAAAGCAAATTTATCATTTGTATAATCTCAAACATCTAACAGATATAGTATTGGGTTGTTTAGTAAACCAAATAGAATAAAAATATATGTTTGCATATTTACCATTGATAGCTCTAGGGTTGTTTTATGAAATCAACAATATTAAACTAGTCTCATTAACCAAAGATTTACCAAATTACATGAACTTGAAAAACAGTTGAGTTGGTTCTTAGGGAACTCAGGGACCCCTGAGAGCTACCACCTGGAACTGGAAACATTGGGTCCACGCCTCTCTAAGCTCATATACCAGGGCAAAAAAGATCTCAAAGGTCTCCCCACAGGCGCTGGTGGAAAACTTTAAACCCTCACGTGGATCGAGGGCCTGCTCCATGTGCCACAATACAACTTGGATAAAAATATAAAATAGAGCAAAGACAAGACCCAACTCCCACAGAAACTGAGTTTTATATGATTGTGCCTATGCCTTGGTTCTTATATTTCTGGGAGTTTTAGGAAGATTTACTTTGTGTAAGTGCCTGTTTCTTTGTAAGCCAATTAGGGTAGAATTCCTTTAAGGGATTTTATAGCTTAGTTTGGTAACACCATCCTGAGGCATGGAAGGTGTGAACACCGGGTGTGTAAGACTCACTAGTTTATATGAGAGTTGGACCTTGTCTTCTCAGTCTCAGGTGGTTGCTTTTGGGGGTCCCTTGAGTCCCTTGAGAGCCCCCCATGGGGCGGGAGCCCAAGGTTTCGGTGGCTGTGGGGTTGAGGGTGGAAGGGAGGGAAAGGCCTGGCAGGGTGGACAGAGCGGAGGAGGCAGGGGCTGGAGGGAGGAGGGATGTGGTAGGAATGAGAAGCCTGTGGGGAGCACGCTGGGGTAGGGGGGCTGGAGTCGCCAAAGGAGCTCCTACAATCCCCCCTCATCCTTGGCAAGGATGTCATCCAACCGGAAGGAAGTGGGCAGTGGGCCCTGCGCTGGCACATCGTCCGCAGGGGCACTGGATGCTCCCGGGGGGTTCCTTCTAGGCCAGGAGATGCCTTCCTGAGAAACCTGGCCTCTACCCCTGCTTTGGGGACAGCACCCATCCCGCTGTCTTCCTGGATGTCTGGCATCACAGCAAACGGGAGGTGGGGCCGAGGTCTCTGGCCCCCCACCTGCCACTCAGCTCGGCAAAAGTGCCGTCTCTCCTCACCCTGGCCTCCTGATGCGTGTGGCCAAGAGAGCCCAGTGTCCGCTGCTCTGCAGACGGAGGCCACGGCCACCTGGGCCCCACGGCAGATTCAAATCTTTGCAAAGCAGCCAAAGGCATTCCTAGTGCTGAATGGATGTTTTCAGAATGAAGACCTGATGGCTCCGGGTGTCAGAGGCCGGTCTGCCTGTCCCCCACCCACCTAGGCCTGGTGGGCCAAGGTCATTACCCAGCTGCCAAGGGTCTCCATTGCCCTCTTTGGGGGCTCTATCTCAAGGAGGATAAGTGGTGATCAGAGTTGAGTGCAGGAAGAACACTTAAGAATGGGCCGATAGCAAGGAAGGTTGTGGGGGCGGGTGTTGCTGTTATAGTTTTGGGAAAGAGGGCCTGTCCCTTGCCAGGTTGCCCAGGTCTGTGTGCCATCTCTGAGGACACACGCTAGGGGCACTGGAAGGAAGCCCTTCCCCTCCTCCCAGAAGGGCGTGGGTGGGCGTCTGCCCTGGAGCGGGACTCCAGTGCCTGGGCCCCCGCGGAGGTGGTAGCTGTGCTGGTTTTTCTGGCCCCTGCTCCCCTGCGGAGAGTGGTGTGACTTTTTCTGGTTTGGGAACAGGGAGGACCAGGAGCAGGGGTGCTTGTTTTCTTGGTGTCCCACTGTTTTTACTGTAGAAAAATATGCGTAAGTTAAAGTTTACCATTTTAGCAATTTCTAAGCGTACAGTGGGGCGGCATTAAGTGCGTCCACACAGTGTAACAGACACCACTGTTTTCAGAACTTTTTCACGACCCAAAACAAACTCTGCCCACATTCAGCAGTAGCTCCCTCCCCTCCCCAGCCCCAGCAGCCCCTGCTCGACTTCGGCCCTTTGAATCTGCCTTTTCTAGGTGTTTCGTATGAGTGGATTCACACAATATTTATCATCCCTTTGTGTCTGGCTTATTTCACTTAGCATAGTCCTAAGTGTGCGTCCTTGTGGGTAGCCCGGCTCAGGGCTTCCCTCACTCTGATGACTAAGCACCACCCACTGTGTGGACGGACCACGCTTGGCGCTTTGGTGCTGCTGTGACCCGTGCTGTGAGCACGGTGGACAAGGATCAGGTCAACTCCCTGCTCTCGGCCCTTTTGGGGACACACCCCGAAGTGGGATTGTTGGGTCACACGGTGACTCTATATTTAACTTTCTGAGGAACCGCCAACTATTTTCCACAGCAGCTGCACCGTCTCATGCCCCTGTCGCGGGCACGAGTTTCTGGTTCCTCCACGTCTGCACCAGCACTTGTGTCCCCTTTTTGGAGGCCGGGGTGGGGAAGTCATCTTCACAGGTGTGAAGTGGCACCGTGTGGTTCTGATTCGCGTTTCCCTAGTGACTAGTGATGTTGAGAAGATGCTCGCTCACTGGCGTGTCTCCTCTGGAGAGATGTCTGCTCAAGTCCTGTGCCCATTTCCCAACTGGGTCGTTGCGGGCAGCGAGGGGAGGGAGGCCCGGTGAGCCTGGCCTTGGGGAGGGGCCCATGTTCCAGGGCTTTGGTCACTTGCAGGTTGTGGTTCCTGCTGCTGATGGTCTAAAGGCAAGAGAACACAGAGTTTCTGTCTGCTTTGCTGCTGGGCCCAGAGAAGGGGTGTGGACGGCAGGGCCGCCTGGGAGGCCAGGTCTGGTCCAGGCCGTGCTGGAGCTGGAGGGATTGGTGTGGCCGAGGCTCCCACCTCCACTGTGTGGACTCTAACCTGCTGGTTATGTGCTCACTGTGTAACCAGGCCGTGTGGCCCAAGACCTCCCGAAAGCCTGGGTGTCCACGGGCAGGGTCTCAGCACCCCTGTTCATCCTCTGCTCTGCCCACCAAGCCCCTCATGGTCCTGGTCATTGGGATCTGGAGCCCAGAGCTGTCTTCCAGGGGTCTCCCCTCCGAGAGCCCTGCCCTGCCTGCTGTCCCGGGTGAGCCTTTCTGCTCAGGAGCTTCTCGGAGAGCAGGGGCCTGTGTGGCCACTGGGATTCTGAGGCTGCTTCCTGTGCGTGGCCCGTGAGTGACCACAGGCCCCAGTGGAAGCATCACATCTGCCTCTTCCTTTCATCCTTTTCCATGTTAAGGTCTCTGCTCTGGGCCGGCTCAGCTCTGCAATGTCACAGGGTCCCCAGGCCCATCCGTCTGCCTGGGGCCTGGGCTACCTTCCCGGAGGGCCCCTTGCCGAGGGGGAGGGCACATCTGGCTCACACTGTGGTACAGGCGGACAGGTGGCCTTCCTGCTCAAGGGACAGATGCGCCCTGTGTGGTCATCCCTTAAGGGAGTGGCCAGCGGGGTGTGCCCTGTGTCCCTCAGATGGGGGCCACCTGTGTCCTATCTGGAAACACTCACAGAACTGCAGGTGCTCTGGGATTGCCCTGAGTGTCAGGAGCCTCAACTCACCTTGGGCTTCCTGGGAAAACACGGTGGGCCAGGGGTGGGGGGCTGTGACCTGCAGCCCCTGGGCAGGACCGCCAGACACACAGCTGCTCCCCACCCAGGGCGCAGCCCCAGCAGGAAGCTGTTTGCGGGTGAGTGGGGCTGTGCACACCTGGAGCTAACAACCTGGCAGGTGGCTGGCCCCTTGAACCTTGGGCCCCCGTCAGCACAGGGGTCCGTGGCAGCACCACCCCCGACTGAGGGGTGCATGGGTGGGTCAGCCAGGACGGCAGGGGGCACTAACCACGGGAGCCCTTGGGTCCACCTGGCCTCCTGCAGGCCTCACCCTGCCATTGCCCGCCCCCTCACCAGATGCTGGAGGGCCCGCCCCTGCTGCTGGTCGCTGTCTCCCTGGGCCTGGTGTTGCTGCTGCTGGTGCTGCCGGTCCTGCGCCGCTGCGGCATCGTCTTCCTTGGCTGGAACGAGCTATTCCTGCACCCCATCTGCAACCTCCTGATGGGCGACAGTAAGGAGCAGCGCATCCTGCATTACGTACAGCAACATGCGGTGGCCGGCGACCCGCAGAGCGTGGTCCGCGCCATCGACACCTACTGCTTGACCAAGGAGTGGGCCATGAACGTGGGCGACAAGAAAGGTGGGTGCTGTGGCTGTTCACCTGTCTCCCGGGTGTGCAGGGGCGAGGGGACCAGCCTCTCACTCCTGACACCATGTTGCCATCCCCGTGGGGGCAGACATGTGATAGACCCTCAGGAGGTGCTGTGCAGGGGGCCCCTCGCCAACACCGGTTGGAGGCCCTGCATCTGCACACCCTCCGGCAGGACCAGATCCACGGGGTGGGCAGTGGGTTCCTGGGTGTCCTGGCTGGGCGGGAGGGCGTACCGAGTCTCTTGGACTCTGCCCGGCCCAGGCACCAGGCTCCCCCACCTCCAGGGCTGCCTCCTGATCTCTGGACTCCAGCATGGGGCACCGGCATGTGCTGAGCTGCATTTCCTAGGGTCAGGCTGAGGACAGACGTGACAGCCATTGTCCGGCCTCCTTGGCCTTTCCAACCGTGTCCAGCTCAAGGGAGTCAAGGATGCTCTTGAGTGCAGCTTGTGGGCAGAGTGGGGTGGGGGCTTCCGCAGAGGACAGCTCTGGGTTAGGACGGGTTGGGGTCAGCCAGGAATAGTGGAAAAGAGACCAGCGCAGAGGCCTGAGTGGCCACGGGAGCTCAGAGGCATGGGCCGTGGGGCTGGGCATCGGGAGCAGGCTGCTGCTCAGTCAGGAAGGAGCTGGGCCAGGACTGGGAGTGGGTCAGGCCCCTCCGCCTGCTCACACCTCCTCCACCGCCGCAGGCCAGATCGTGGACGCCGTGGTGCAGGAGCTGCGCCCCTCCGTGCTGCTGGAGCTGGGGGCCTATGTGGGCTACTCGGCCGTGCGTATGGCCCGCCTGCTGCTGCCCGGCGCCCGGCTGCTCACCATCGAGCTTAACCCCGACTACGCCGCCATCACCCAGCAGATGCTGGACTTCGCAGGCCTACAGGACAGGGTGTGGCATGACACCACCCCCGGGGTGGCACTGAGGCTCCCAGGGCCAGGCGGGTTGGGGGCTTCATCACACCCCAGCGGCTCGATGCCACATTTTCCCTGCTGGTCATTCCGTGGAGGCTGGGGCCGGGGACCTGTGTCTCCCAAACCCTGAAGAAAACTGTGTGGGGCCAGGTGGGGGTCTGTTTGCCCTGTGGCCGGACACTGACGAGGGCTGTTCCAGGTGACATTGGTCGTCGGGGCATCCCAAGATATCATCCCCCAGCTGAAGAAGAAATATGACGTGGACACGCTGGACATGGTCTTCCTTGACCACTGGAAGGACCGGTACCTCCCAGACATGCTCCTTCTAGAGGTGAGCTGGACACCTGCCTGGCAAGGTGGGCTCCCATGTCAGTGGGCTCAGCCTTTGGAGCGCCAGGGGCCCTGCTGAGCCATAGCTGGAGGCAGGGCAGGACCCCGCACTAAGTGGTCCTGGTGTGGGCACGGAGGTGCAGGCTGGGTGTGAAAGGGCCCGGGATGTTCTGGGAACAGGCAGGTTGGGGCAGTGGGCCAGGGTGTGTGGAGGTCTGGACCACACAGGCAGGAGCACAGAGGGCTTCAGGCAGGTATGGACAAGTTAGATCTGTCTTCTTTCCAGAAGGAGCCTGTCGGCTGCGTGGAGGGAGGTGGCTGTGGGCAGGCGGATTGGGGGTCCAGCACCAGGAGCTGCACAAGGACCTGTGTCAGCAAGATGCGGCAGCGGGGGGAAGGCTGGGGGCGCCTGAGGAGCACACCGGGGCGGGGGAGGAAGTGGGGTATTGAGGGCAGACACCAGGCAGCCGACCAGGCTGGACCTGCGTCATGGGCGTGGAGGCTTCGGCAGCTTCGGTGTGTGTGATGATCATGGGGCCAGCGCTGATAGAAAAGGAGCAAATACTGGCATAACCAGGAAACTGATTGTTTTCTCAGTGCCGCTTGTTCAAAGCTGGTCATTAGCTCAACAGAAGGGAAGTTCTGAACCGGGGACATGTGTTCTGTAGCCCTGCAGCTGGGCTTTGGGTCGGGGCTGAGGGGCTGGGCAGGCAGGTGGCCATTCAGATGGGAGGCTGCTTGGTCCCCCGTCACCCGGACCTCTCCACAGGCTGCTGGGGTGTCCTCACAGCATGGCAGCTGGAGCCCCGCAGAGCCAGAGGGGCGAGGGAGGCACACATTCCCAAGTCAAGCCCACAGCCTGGGTGACAGGAGGGAGGCTTGGGGACAGTGGACACCCCTCTGGTCCTCCGAATGCCGTTCCTCCTGCCACTGGCTTGCTGGGACCCTGAGCTTCTGGCCAGACCACTCCAGGGATCTGTCCCCGTCAGGAGGCGGGGTGTGGGGAAGGGAGTGCTGCCTCCTTGTCTCCTTTCCTCAGGGCAGTGGCCTGGCTTCCTCCTCCTCTGCTTCCTTCGTCCACAGGTAACCGGTAGGGTTAGTGCCTGATGTCTTTCAGCGCCCCTGCCCCACCCGAGCCCGTCAGCTGGATCCCCAGCTCACCTCGTGCACCTCTTGCCCCAGATGCTTTCCTGGGGCTGCGTCAGGGCAGGGGGTGCCTCCTGGGCTGCCCTCTGTTCTAGGCCTTTCACTCCACCATTCCTAGCAGCACTTTGTTCAGATCCTGGCTCCTGGGGTGTCCCTAAGCCTCACTGACCTCACAGATGTTTCCCACTCTGGCCTGAGGGCCCTGGGCCTCCCCTTGGCTTCCGGGCTGGAGGTGCAGACGCCACTAGGAAGACTCTACGAGGGGGTGCAGAGTGGCTGCCGCTTTCCTAAGTCACCAGGAGGGGCCCACACATCCGCGTGGTCCTGCGGCAACTTAGGACACACCTGGGGCCCCTTGCTTCATTTGGTGTCCGTGTTTGGAGTTGCTTAGCTTTTTCCAGTTGTACACAATCGATTGCATAAAAAGTCTGAGTCCAACACAGCAACCAGGTGGCCCTTCGCCCCTGCCCCAGGCAAACGTTTCCTCTCAAGGCTTTTCTCTTTCTTATGTAAGCCAAACGGCTCCTCCCCCGGCTTAGAGACCGGGAGCCCACTCCCTGGGGCTGTGTCCAGCTGCTCCTCCTTCAGCAGAGCCCAAGCCCAGGGGCGCTGGCTGGCTGCCCAAGGCCCAGGCGCTCTTGCAGATGGGCTGCCTCAAATGCTGGGCTGGGGGTTGTCCAGGATGGACCCAAGGCGCAGGCTTATGGGTGGGGAGGTCTGTCCCACCTCCGCCCTCAGCCCTGCAGGGTCACCCTGGTCGGGCCAGGTCAACCCTCCAATGACCGCCACCAGCAGCCCAGGCACCGGGCACCGGGCACCTCCCTGACCTTGAGAAGCCCCGAGTTCCTGGCACCAGGTGACCAAGGCACTCATTGGCCTTAATTGCCACTGTGGCCCTGGTCCTGGCCCCGGCTCCTCTACTCACACTTCCCGCTAGCACTTTAAGTAAGCACCTACCGTGTGCCCCCCACTGTTGTCGGGCTGAGGACGCAGGAGGAATGGAGGAGATCCCCTTCCTGCAGTGGCCTCGGGGAGGAAGTGGGATGGACCTAGGCCTTCCCTCCTGGCTTGCGGGGGATTTGACAGACACCCTGACGGTCACCGCTCTGACTGTTGGTCTGTCCCTGCAGGAGTGTGGCCTGTTGCGGAAGGGGACTGTGTTGCTGGCTGACAATGTCATCTGCCCAGGAACACCGGAATTCCTGGCATATGTGCGCGGGAACAGCCGCTTCGAGTGCACACACTTCAGCTCGTACCTGGAGTACTCGCAGGTGGTGGACGGCCTGGAGAAGGTGGTCTACAAGGGCCCAGGCAGCCCTTCGAGGCCTGCTCCGGCCCCCTAGTCGAGCCTGGTTCTAAAGGGTGCGGTGGGCCCGCGCCTGCCAACCTGCTCCTGCAGCTTGGGGCCCTCAGTGCAGCACCCTTGAGGCCTCTGCACAGCAGCCGCAGGCCGTCCCTTGCTGGTCCGCCCCTAGGGCAACCAGCTCACCATGCAAAGTCACTGCAATAAATCTGCAAAGTATCTGCTTGCAAAGACCAGACCACGGCAAGTGGTGTCCCTCACAGTGTCACCCACCAGCATTCTGACAGGGCTTCTTACACGGGCAGGTCCTCCGCCATCAAAATGGCCAGCAGACACAGGAAGCGGGGGACCCACACAGCCTGTCCTTGAGGTCTGCTGTCACTAGGTGGCAGCAACACCTCAGTGATGCACTCTAACCAGCAACTCTCACCATGCTTCTGACCCCTAAGTTCTTTCACCTCCTTTGTAAGAATGAAACGCAACTTCTTTACTAAAATCTACTGCTAACAATCTTATACACCAGCATCATGTTGAGAAGATAATGAAACACAAATTAAAGGTCTCAAAGTTTAGACAAGAGATCAGCTGATTTCTTCTTGTCAGCCACTCCTCTCCTCCGGTGCCTTCAGCCTCGCACCAGACATGCTGCTCCCCTGATCTGTGCCAAGGCTTCAGGCTGTCTACCTGCCCAGTACTGCTCCTGTGGCCGGGCCGAGGGCACCTGTTACAGCCCCATCTAGAGCTGTCCCATAGGGGAAGCTGGGACAGGGCATTTGGCTAGCCTTCATGCCCTCTCTGACCAAGAAGGTGCTAGGAGAGGTGGACAGGGCCCTGCAGCAGTGCCAGGTGTGGTCTGTCCCACACCCGGCTTCTCGGGGCCTGTGTGGCATGGAGTGGAACCTTGTTTGGGAAGAGCAGTCACAGACCTGCCGTGGCACTTTGGGGTTGCCCAGCTGGCAAGGGATGAAGCAGCTGGTTTGTACCTACCGCAATCCACAGGTGCCCCAGCCCTGCCCTGGTGTTCCCGCCCCACGGCCCCCAAGCAACTGGACCTCTGGCCGCCTCAGAGGCTTCCTGGGGTTCCAGATCCCAGGACCACCCCTGCCTGACAGAGCCCACCTGGGCCCAAGAACAACCCCTGGCCAGGACCCCACCCCAAGCCTTACTAACCACCCAGGAACAAGCCTACTCCTCTTTGTGTGTGGGAAGGGGATGCGTGTGGGGAAAGACCCCTGGGACCTGGGAGCTGAGCCCCTGCTGGACACAGCAGACATGCACCTGCGGCCACTTCTGCCCCCCAGCAGATGAGGAGGGGGCAGAATGTGGAGAGAGATCTGAGCCACCAAAGTTTGTTGGTTTTTTTAATTTTTAACTTTTCTTACAAAAATTTAGATGTTTACCAATACAGTCTCATTTTGGTTCTGTTTTTTATGCTTTTTGTCAGTGTTCTTCTGTTTTAAAGTCTCAAACAGCAGGCACTGAACAGCAGTCCCTTGCTGCTGGCAAAGGTCAGTCCCCAAGGTGCTACTCAGGGCTTGGCTATAGGACAGGGCATGGTGGCCCTGGGTCAGAGGTGCACAGGGAGGCCCTGCCATGGGGCTCCACACATCCGAGGGCAGGCAGGGTCAGGCTGTGAGTGCCGCCCCCAGAGCAGCCAGCCCCTCCACCCTCCAGGCTCAGGGTCAAAGTCCGTTCCCTGAGCCCCCTCCCCACTCAGCTGCAGGGCTCCAGGGCCCGCCCTGCTCCTCGGTGCCCTGCGCACAGTGGTGCATACACTCCGGCTCTGCCAGCCCTGTCGTCCCCAAAGCAAAGCAGGGCGCCCTGCCAGCCTGTCTCACACACACACAGCACCATGTCAGTAAACTAACTCCGAAGAGTTAGGAGGGAGGGAGCCAGGCAGGAAGGGAGGCGCATCCAGAATGTCAGGCTCCGGGAGGAGTGGCCCTGCCGACAGTTGCCGCCAGGGGGCTCCCAGCTCCACAGCGGGGGCCCCAACGGCCCTTCTTCCGAGGTCAAATCCTAAGAACGACCAGCTGGGCCCAGGCCCTGAGGAGGGAGAGGGGAAGGCTGAGCAGGCCGGTTAGCCCGGCGGATGGTGTGGACGCAGGCAGCTGGGCCAACCCTGCCCTGCTGGTCCTCCGGGGGCCTGGGATGGGGGCATTTGAAGGTGTTGGGGGACCAGCCCTGCTCTGGCCCCACAGCCTCTGGGCCCTGGTGACATTGCCTGCCTCCGGCTGCAGGCCCAGGAGGCCTCTCCCACTCAGACCCCAGGCTGTCCTTCCCTCTGTGGGCCTTCAGGCCGCTGAGCCAGGGCTGGGCCGCCAGGGAGAGCAGAGCGTGCAGCCGAGATGGAGAAGGCCCTGCCTGGAGGAGCGAGCATGGGGGAGGAACACCAGATGAGAACCTACCAGGCATGCAAGCTAGACCCAGGAGTCAACAGGCTGAGGCTTAGCATCCCCCACGGCGTCCACCAGCCTGACTGTGGGCCTGCTGGGCCCAGGAGGAGGAGCCTTCCTGCTGGTGTCGGACTGCAGCGGACGGCAGTGGGCAGGAGGGCGTCAGAGGCAGAACAGAGCAGGTTAGTCAGAGCTGGAGTGTGTGGGCCAGGCTGGTCAGGGGGGCGAGGCCGGAGCCGGGGTGCACACTAGGGGAGGGCCGAGGGCAAGGGGCGCTGACCAAGCGTGGCTCAGAGAGACAGAGTGACATGTGGACACGCACGCACGGCCCGTGCCCAAAGCAGGGGATTGGCGCAGAGCAGGCGGCAGGGGCTGCCCTGGAGGTGGGAGCAGAGCAGGCTGCGCCGCGAACACACATGCAGGAAGGATGCAGACACGCTTGTTCAGACTCCCCGGGTGATGCCTTCTGTCCCGTGCTCCCTCGCTCCCAGTGGGCATGAGCTTTCAACTACCTGCACCCATAGGCTGGCTCTGATGGGACAATCCCCACCCTGGGCTCCTGGCCCAGCTGCCCTGCAGCTGAGGCCCCACCCCAGGCAGACTCCAGGCTGGAGACCAAACTCAGCATCTTGCCTGGGCCCCTCTCTAGGCACACCCCCGACAGCTGCCCATAGCCACTTACTTTTAATGGTTCCTTCTCAGAGGCCTCCCCTGCAGGGTCACTGCCTCGCGCCCTCCGCTCCCTCCGGTCAACAGTGGAGTATCCGTCTGAGGGGGGCGTGCATGAAGAGAACTCTGAGGGGTATGTGCCATAAGACCCCACCCATCTCAGCCTGGATGTGGGGGTGCACCTGGAGAGGATCTCACCTGACTGTCCTGCACCAAATCTTCTCACAGGCCCTCTGGGCGTGGGCCTTGCAGCCTCTCACTTGCTCCCCCCACGGCAGCTCAGAGCCCTCCAGCTGCCCCTCGGCTGGGTGACGAGACACCCTGGCTGGGCAGTGACCCCCTGCCAGCTGCCCCCGTCACTCCCTGAGCACCCCTAAATCAAATCTCTCTTTTCCAACCAGCACCTCCTTGGAAGGCCGTCCCCACACAGGAAACAAACATCCGCCCCTGCACTCACCTGGCCCAAGTGCCTCCATGGGGATCATGTCCCGGCTGCCTGGCTTCTCATTGTCTGCAAGGCACGAGTAGGGAACTGGCTGGTTGCAAACAGCAGCAGGTGGCCGGAGCTGGCCTTGGCCCCCCCTGAGTACCCTCTGTCACCAACATCTTTGCACCGTCCTGCTGGGCCCCTGCCTGCTGGCACTGCCACCCCCTGCTTGGTGCCACTGTGAGCACCACGGTAGAGGATGCAGAGGCTACAGGAGAGGAAGGCGCACCCGCCTCCACCCATCAGCTGGTAGGGGACGCTCCTGAACCCTGGGGATGGGCCTTGCCCTGTGCTCACCCAGGCTCTTGTCCACCAACGGCAGCGTGCTGTCATCAAAGCCACTGGGGCTCGGTGCTGCCTTGGGCCCCTTGGTGTTAGCAGCAGCCAACTGTGGGGGGTAGGGCACATAACAGACGTCAGGGGTACCTCCGCAGGGGACCCAGCCTGGTAAAGAGAGAAAGGAAGGGCCGGGCGGGCCTCACCTGGAAGCGCGCCTTGGTCCAGCCATCCCTCTGCAGGGCACCACGAAGTTCCTTGTAACTCCACACTGTCTGCAGCACGTGGGACGCAGCCTTCGCCTCGCGCACTGATTGGCTGCAGACGGGGCAGGGTCAGCGTCTGGCCCAGACTGCCAGGCTCCGCCCCCACCACCTGCGCCCCACCCCAGGCCGTGCCCCCACCCACCTGGTGGCGCCCAGGGCCACAAGCGTGGGTATGCCACGGGCCTGCAGCAGCGAGCGTGCATTGTCCAGGCTGTCGGACACGATCTCATGGATGGTGTTGAGCACGGCCACCACGGTATCCTCCTCCAGGCGGGCCCCGGGATGTGTGGGTGCCTGTGCGCTGCGCACGTTTCGTACCAGCTCGGCCATGGCGTAGCTCCCTGTGGGAAGGGTTGGGTGAGGGCACACCTGCACCGGTAGGAGGGGGGCCGCAAGGGGCAGGAAGGCCTGGGCCCTAGACCCCTGCTGCGCCCCTATCCTCACCGATGAGGTCCTTGTTGCGCCGGTCCAGTGAGAGGTTGCGCAGGGCGATGGCGACGGCGCGCACCACCTTGTCCGTCTCCGACTGCAGCAGCTCCACCAGCACCGGCAACCCGCGCTCCTTGCGCACCGTGGCGCGGATATACGTGGCCCACTGTGGCGGGGTGGTGGGGGCCTGCTCAGCGCCCATGGGCCACAGGCACCGGACACTCGCCCACCTGGGTCCTGACCACCCCCTCCAGCTGGACTGGACAGTCCTCCTCCCGGACCTGACAAAGCCCTACCCCAGCAGCTCATGCCATCTCCACCAGGAAGCCTCCTGGGATTCCCTCTGCCCCCTCTTGCCAGGCTTGGCCTCTCACCACCCAGTTGCCGGCGCTGAGGTTCTGCAAAGCACCAGCCGCAGCCTCCAGGGTGTTGAAGTTCCGGCTCTCCGTCAGGAGGGACAGGTACAGACGTACCACCTCAGGCTGGTACAGCAGCTCAAAGCCTGGGCACAGAGCACCCACCACCCACAGTTACCCAGGCTGCCCCAGCTCTCCCAGGGTGAGGGTGAGCTGGGGCCCAGGATGGCTTCGTCACCATCAAGGAAACGTTTAGCACCAACATATGACCCTTGTGGTCATCCGAGAGGAAAACCTTTCCCATTTCACACAGGAATCAACCCAGGCTCTAAGGTGGCAGTAGACTTGGTGAGGTCATTCTTCCTCTGACCCCAAAGAAATGGGGGCTGCCTGGCAGTTGAAGCCTACGACGCCCAGGGTGGGGAGGGAGGCAGCAACCAGGGCTGCTCCCCTAGCAACAGGGTTCAAAGCCCCTAGCAACAGCTCCTCTTCCCCCATAACCAGGGCCCATCCTCCAGTCCGAGCCGCTCAACCACTTCTGGTCCCCCGTCGGTCAGTTGAGGCCCCAGCCTGGCAGCAGAGCCACCCACAGTGCTCCAGGGATGAGGCTGGAGCAGGCTTCCAGGTCTGTCCCCATGCTGGGGCTTCTGTGTCCCTGGACATGACCTCCCAACCCCCATCCCCACAGCATCACCCCATTTCCAGTCCTTACACCCCATTTTCCCTTCACCCCAGTTTCCTGTTCCCCAGATACTCCAAGCATGTCCCCACAGCATCTGCACGAGCTGGGCCCTCTGCCTGCGATGCTTCCCCCTAAACCTCCACGGCTGGGCTCTTGCACCCTGCCTGGGGGCATCTGGGCTCACTGGGGCAGGCTTTTCTCACCAGGCTGGACTCCCAGTGCACGGAACAGTGCCACACACAGCAGTGCTCCAACAGGCACAGGGGCAAGAAGGACGAGCCAGGGTGATCTGGCCCAGCCTTCGTACTGGGTCTGGCTGCATCCTCAGGGCTGCAGAACACCCCCAAGTGAGCCCAACCTCCTCGGCCGACATGGGAGGCCCTGCCTGCCGGCCAGCGCCCTTCACTCAACAGCCCTGCTCTAATCCCTGCCAGCCTCTCTTAGTGCTGTGACCAGCAAGCCACTGGCTCCTCTATGCCTGCACCTCCATACCCTGCCGGAACTGACCTGTGGCACGGATCCTGATTCCAAACCCTCAGCGGTGGCCAGGGACTGGACAGTCCTGCAGGAACCCTACACTTGTGGTTTTTTCCACTTTTTCTCCATCAGATCCCCAAGGCCCTTCGGGCCTGCTTGGTGCCATAAAGCTTAACTCCTGGACTGGCCTGGGCCTGGACTCTACCTCTGCCCACTCACCTTTGGCAGCCTCAGTTCGCTTGGGCAGGTCCAGAGTGTCAAAGTTCTGGTCCATCTCACCGTCTTTCTTCCCTGGAACAGAGGGCAGTGGGAGGTGAGGTGGACCCTGCAGGGGGCAGTTGTGTGTCAGGAGAGGTGGGTACAGCACTTTCCTGCTCACGGCCCAGAAAGCACCCGTATCCAAACTTGGGCACCCAGAGGCCCTGGGAACAGAGCAGCATCCTGAGTTTAGGTGGGCAGTTCAGCCCAGCAGAGGGCAATGGTGGCAGTAAGGCCTGGGGACATCCCGACCCTGCCCAACAGCCAGGGCTCATCACCCACAGGTGCTGGGAGCTGCACTGCAAACCCTCCTGGTGGCCTTCTGTGGCCACCAGGTGTGTGGACCACGAGACCTGGAGCCCAGGTCGGGGCACAGCAGACAAGGACGTGGAGGGCTGGCGGGACAGGATGTCTGCTGCAGAGCAGGGCCGAGTGGAGCAAGAGTCCCCCTCACGGGGAAACTTGCCCATCTAGGGCAAGGAGAGACCCCCCCTCAACAATCCACAGACCCCGTCAGCTGCGGCCTGCACACCTCTGGTGGTGTGCTCACCACTCCCCAACCACCCTCCCCTCCCAGACAAGGGGCCTTCTCCTTGGAAGGCAGCAGAGCTGAGTTCAGACGACTTGGGGCCCCCACCCTGCCCAGCCTCCTGGGCCGTGTGGCCCGTCTGAGCTACACATTCCATCGGAGGGGCAGACTCTGCTCCCTGGTGCCCTGGGACGGACACCCCCAAGCCCTACCCTCGGCCCAGCTGCCCCAGCTCCCGCTCCTGCTCCAGCCTTGCCCGGGCAGCGGAGTCTGAGGTTACAGACAGACAGCCCCTTGGCCTCCAGCCAGGCGAGGGCTGACATTCCTACTGTTGTCATGTCCACACAGTCGTCATGGAGACAGCTGCCCAGAGAAGGGCCTGGGATGGGGGCTTCCCGAGGCTGGAAGGTCTTGCAGTTGTCATGGAGATGGCTGCCTGAGCAATGGGGGGTTCCCTGGTGACCACTGCACCCCCCAGGCCTGCCCGGACAAATGGGGACTCACCTTGATGGAACCACTCTTCTGGGCGGCCGGGGGAAGCAGAGGAGAGAGGAGAGGAGCCTGAGCGGGCAGCACCCCTTCACGCCCTCCTGGGAGGCACTGACCACAGGGATGTGAATCTCACCCTGACTACTTCAGGGGCTGAGTGCCCACAAGTGGGACAGGGGTCAGAAACGGCCCACGCAGTGGGGTGGGGGCAGGTGGTACAGACCCCCTGGTGGCTGCCAAGGGGCATCAGAAGCTGCACCTGAGATGGGGATGGAGTAAGGCAGGCGGGCGAGGTGCTGCTCTGGGCTTCTCAGGATCTTTGGGTGCTCTGCCAACGCCAGGAGTGGCTGTGTCCTCGGCACCGTCCAAATTTGGGCCCCTAGAAGCCTTCCTGGAGCTGAAGGCCTGGGTCTGGGCACCAGTAGGGACACCTGCCCAGGGCCCCGGTGCAGACGAGGTGGCTGGGCCTGCCAGCTGGGAGCCGGGGGCAGCATACCCACTTTGGCTCCCTGCCCATTAGAAGGTGACCATGACTACTGAGGGCGTGGGGGGTGGGTCTCGGCAGTGTGGGGGGTCCTAGACTGCTTCCCCAGGCCCACCCACACACCTTTGGCCTTCTTGCCACCGAAGCAGCCGGCGTCATCCCTCCTCCGGCGCTGGGAGCCCATAGCACTGCCCAGGGGCCCGGGCTCAGCCTCCTGGTACCTGTCGGCGCCGGGCACCTCCTTGTGCACATGGTAGCTCAGGTTCCGCACGATGCACACGCAGTTCTCCACCGACTGCGGGGAGAGGGGCTGGTGGCCAGGGTTGGGCAGGCACGGACTGCTGACCCTCCCACGGCAGGTGGTGACAGCCAGTGTGCATGGAAGGGACCACTCAGGCGAAAGCCCCAGGGAGGACGATGGTGGAGCACCTGCTGCATGCAGGCCCTTGACCAGGGCTTCATGCCACACCCGCTTCATGGTGTGACCACTGCGATGTGTCCCACGCCCAGGGCGCTGACCTCGACCCACGTGCCCCTCTGTGCCACCAGATAGTTGCGAGTTCCTGTGACCTTTGTGGGCGGCTGCGAGACTGGCCCTGCTGGGGCCTGCCTGCCCACCCACCTTGTTGTCCGTGTCCTTCCTGCCCACGGCCGACTGCAGGGCATGCAGGAGCGCGTCCACCAGCCCCTCACACTCACGGAGTCGCCGCCGGGCCTCTGCGCCATCTGAGCTCACATTCCTGGGTGGCCAAGAGCAAGCTCTGTGAGCCTGGCTCCCACAGGGAGCTGCAATGGCCCCAACGTGGCTGTGGGCAGGATTCTATCTTATCTGCAAATCAGACTCTGAGGCCACTCTTTGAGGGCTGCTGCCAGATGACAGTGGCCTGGAGCAGCAATGGCCTGACTGATGAGACCCCAGAAAGGAGCCCTGGGCTGGCACCTGCAAGGGTGGGGGCTCCCCTGAGCTGAGCTGAGTCGACCCAGAGGACTGAATCCGTGCAGGGAAATCCTGGGCTCCCCCTGCTCCAGTGGCATCTCAGGGCTCTGCCTCCCCCTGAGGTCGGGACTCAATGCGGGCACATCCTGATGGACAGGCAGGGGACCCAGACAGCTCCACCACCCACCCCGGCTGTCACAGTGATGGGTGGAAGCTGGGCAGGGCTGGAGCTGTGGAACAGAAGAGAGGTTGGCAGACATCTGGAGGCTGCCCGTGGGGGTGAACACAGCCCCACCAGGCCCACTCTCGGACTTGGGCAGGAACTGTGACAGGGCTCTGGTGCTGAGGCCTGACAGCCAGCTGTCTTCCACATTATCTGGGACATGGGAACATGGCTGTCCCCAGGACAGCTGTCCCCAGGTGTGTGTACAGGATCTGATGCCTAGTTCCTGCCTCCTGGGCTGAGAATAGCTCTGAGCAGCTGCGCCTGGCCCCGCCACACCTCAAGCAGCCCGATGTGTTCTTGAAGACAGTCGTCCACTCAGCGTCCCGCGGCTTGGAGTCCTCATTGGGCTCTGGCTCCCAGCCCGAGTGAGGCACAATGACCTCGTGGGTCAGCGTCTGCAGGCCATGGTCAATGATGACCATCTTCAGGGGCTCGTAGGATGACAGGTTCCAGAGCGTGCCTGCAGGGTACCACCAACCCACCAGTGCTGACCACAGGCACTGCCCCCACTTCCTCCCATGGGTCCCTCGCAGGACCTGCCCTGCCCTCCCTGTGTCCCAGCTGACTTAGCAGGCAGGAGTGACAAAAGCCAGGAGAGGTCCCGAGTGCTGCCCTGGCATGGGCAAGATGCACAAGCCGCAAACGGCAGGGGCTCCCCAGAGGGGCTAGGATATAAAGGAGGGCCGGTGGGGGGCCTGGAGCCAGCAAGAGCCTTCTCTTCCCCAACCCTTCCCACCCACACAGGCAGGTGAACTACAGCTCCCGGGGCCATGCCAAGTTGGTTGTCACAGGACCCTGTCTGGCCACAGGCCCCAGCACTGCCCTGCTGGGGGGCGGGGACCAGGTAGGTGGACCCTGGAGGAGTTGTGGTGGGGACATGGGAGCTGGTGGGGAGCAGGATTGTCCAGGGGCCCAGTACTAGGCCCAGTTCCAGCCCCACCGACAGCAACTAAGTCCAGAGGTAGAGAGACCAGACCCATCACGGCATCTGAGCCTGACTCCTGCGCCTAGCAGCCGGGACTCTTGACTGAATGGGGGACGCGGGTGGCCAGGAGCCTCACCTGTGACAAGCTCGCGGACCTCGCTGTCCCGGGCAGCCCGCAGCAGGCGCACTAGGGCGGGCACGCCGCCACAGTCCCGGATGGCGGCCTTGTTGTCGGAGTCCCGGCCGTACGAGAGGTTCCGCAGGGCCCCGCAGGCCCGGCGCCGCACCTCTGCTCGCGGGTGGTCCAGCAGAGCCACGAGCAACGGCAGCCCCCGAGCTGCCGCACGCGACGCTTGATGCCCTCGTTCTCAAAGCATAGGTGCTGTAGATAGGCGGCTGCGTTGGCCTTCACGGGGTCCACAGGGTGCCGCAGCATGGCCAGCACCTCGGGCAGCTCAGGGTCCCGCCAGCGTGGCT